GCATCTGTCTGCCGCCTTCTGTTTGAAACTTTCTTTTCTTTTGTGTTCTTTCTTTCTTTTCATTTTAGTTTCTTCTTGGGTCAAAAGGATCCATTTCTTTCCTTCTGGTGTTCTCCAGAATGCTATCTGCCAGCATCTGGGCTATTACTCTCAGAGGGGCTTTTTACTTTGCTGCTTATTGTTCTGCCATCTTCCCAGAATCAACTGACATTTTCCTTTTAATCCTCTTAAAATTATCTTTGATATACAGCCATTTAATTATAATGCGCACTAAAGTCCTCGGTGGAGTGCATCTGTTTAGGGAGTTTTTGAGACTTTCAGATTTTGGTGCCTGTATCTCCTCCAAGGCTGGGAAAGTCTTCAATAACTATTCCATTACAGAAGCTTTCTGACCCTAAGTTGGTCTCTTTTCCTTATGGAACTCTCAAGATGTACATTTGTTCACGTAGTAATGTCCCATATGTTCTAGTGCTGTCTTTATTCTTTTTCTTTATTTTTCCCCATCTTACTGAGCCATTTCAACAGATCTGTAAAGCTTAGACATCTTTTGTTTAAACTAGCTCAAACTATCATATTTAAAATTTTGTATTTAAGCTTAAAGATCTGTTTTTAAGCATGTAAACTTTTGAATTTTCGTTTTATTTCTAATTTTTTATTATCATACATTAATCGCACACACTGAGTTAAGGGTGATATTTCAATACATGCCCATAGCACAGTGATAAAAGTCCAGCCCCTCTGTCCACTCCCTTCCCACTGCCCAGTCTGTAGTAATCACTGCACTACCTTCAAGTCAACAGTTTTTAGTTTCCACATATAAGAACAGCTGGTAATTGTCTTTCCATGTCTAATTTATTTCACTTAAACTTCATTTAACATAGTGTCCTCTAGTTTCATTCTTTTTACTATGGCAAGATTTCAGTCTTGTTATGGATGAGTAATATTCCTGTGTATAAGTGTGTGTGTGTGTGTGTGTGTGTGTGTGTGTGTGTGAGAGAGAGAGAGAGAGAGAGAGAGAGAGAGAGAGAGAGAGAGAGACTGGGGGGAGAGAGAGATGGGGAGAGAGACAGAAAGATAATGAGTGAATCACTTTTTTTATTCATTCACATGTTGATATATCTTACTATTGTGAATAGTGATACAATAAGCATAGAGTGCGCAGGTATTTTTCTTTGTGTGTGTTTTTCATTTCATGTTTTTATATGGTTCATTATATAATCCAGGCTGGCCTTCAGCTCCCCACATAGCCTAGAGTGTTCACAAATTCACAATGCTCATGTTCTAGACTCCTGAGGGCTGGGATTAAGTCACACACCATAACTCAAGGCAGTGACAAGCTCTAAAAGCAGTGCCCAAACTGTAACCTAACACCTAACTCATTTATCCTAAAGTGCCAGCACTGCAGTTAAACCTGCACACTGAGGTTTTAGTTTAGAAAACACACTTATATATTAACATGTTTTTATCTTAAAAGAAAAACAACACACATAGGTTTTCCATCACTGCCCTAAGGTGTATTTCTTGTAGGCAGGATACAGTTGGCTCTTGTTTACTTGCGTTCATTCAACATTATTGATAGGTAAGATATTTTTGCTGTTATGTTTTAAAAACTGTCTTCTAGTCTCTATATATTCTTTGTTTGTTTCCTCCCTCTCTTATATATCTTCACAGTTTGATGGTTTTTTCTATTGGCAATGGTTGATTCTTTTCTGTTTTTCTTTTGTGTATTTACCCTTTTAGCAGGATTTATGCTTTCTCATGCTTTCATGATAATAGTAACCTTTCACTTCTGGATATAAGATTTCCTTAAGCATCTTTGGTAAATAAAGCTGGTCTAGTCACAGACTCTCTCAGTTTGTACTTGTCTTGAAAGGATTTTATTTCTCCTTCATTTTTGAGGGGAAGCATTGCTGGGTATACTAATCTTGGTTGTTAGTTATTTTGTTTTAAGACTTGGAATTCTACTCTGACCAGTGAGATTCCTTCTGAGAAATCTGATAGTGTAATGAAGATGACCTTAATTTTGAGTTGGTAATTTTCTTTTGCAAATTTTATTTCTATTTATTTTTAAATTTACATTTATTGATACAATTTAGGTATTCATAAAGACGACCTTCATTATAGGGAATTTGTATCCATACACGATACATGTTCATGCCTTTTTAAAAATCATTCCTACCTCATTTTCAAGTCACTTACCCTTCCTGTTCACAGAGCTCAGTTTTTCATTTCATCCTTCTTTTCTCATTTTTTCCTTTTCCTTCCTTTTCGCTTCCCTATTTACTTTTCTTTTGAATTCTTTTTTCCTATTTCACACTATCTATGGTACATTTATGTTCTTGTTTGCATTTTCAGTTTCTCACATCAAAGAGGGAATGAAATATTTACCTGTGTGTCTGATTTATTTCGCTTATGATTCCAAGGTCCATCCATTTAGCTCAATTTTACCTTTTTATGGCTGAATAATACTCTATTGTATTTTAAAAACAATTTTTTAAATCCATTCTTTGGTTGGTAGCATTTGGGTTGTTTCCAAAATTTAGCTATTACAAACTGTGCCACTATAAATGTGGTTGTGCATATATTGCTGTGGTATGATGCTTTTAATTCTTCTGGAAAGACACCTAGAAGGGGAACAGATAAGTCAAATGGGATTGCTAATCCTAGCTTTTTGAGTAATCACCACACCAGTTTCCACAGTGGCTGCACCAACCTACACGCCCATCAACAGTGGAGAAAGGTTCCTTTTTTATTGATTGATTTCTTAATAGCCATTCTTTCTGGGGTGAGATGAAGTCTAAGTACTATTTTAATTTGCATGTCTTGAATGACCAGTGAGGATGAACATTTTTTTCATATACTTGTCATTTGTACTTCTTCTGAAACATCTGTTCATCTCAGAGGCCCATTTTTGGATTGGGTATTAGAATTTGGAGGGTCTAATTTTTTTCAGTTCTTTGTATGTTTTAAATAGAAGCCCTTTGTCTGAAGAACAGGTGGCATAATTTTTTTCCTCTCTGTGGGTTGTCTTTTCACGGTGTTGGTGATTTCTTCTGCTGTTCTTTTGCCAATTTTAGCATTTTGTTTGTCTTATTAAACTTTTGAGTTTGACTGTAATATATAACGGTTAAAGGTGTTTTTTTTGGCTGTGTGCTTGGAGAAATTTTAGCCTCTTAAGCCAGGATGTCTGCATCTTTTCCAAAGTTAGGAAACTTTTCTGCTGGTTCATTTCATAGATTTTCTGTGCCACTACACTTTCCTTTTCCCTTTGGTTATTCAAAAAATATGGATACTTGTTCACTTAATGATGTCCCAACATTATTGAATGCTCTCTTCATTTATTTCCTTCAAAAAAAAAAAAAACTGATTCAGATATTCAGAAGGCTTGTTTCTTGTATTAGTCTGTTTTTGAGGATTTAAACTGTATCTTTTATTTTACTTTTCAGACTATTCATTTCTAAGATTTCTTTCTGCTATTCTTCAAAACGTTTGATTAGACAGTGAAAGTGCCACAGGACTTCAAAAAAAGACAATATGCCGGGCGTGGTGATGCACACCTGTAATCCCAGGTGTCCTGAGGCAGGAGGACCGCTGAGAGTTTGAGGCTAGCTGCGCCTCAAAATGAGTTCAAAACCAGCCTGAACTATATAGTGAGACCCTGTCTCAAAATGATTTTAAAAAAAGAGACAATAGGAAATCACCAATGGCTACCATAATGTATCTTATCTTCAAAATAGCTGTCCATACCATCAGACATATTAGACTCTTAACAAAACAGAATGAAACCAAACCAAACAATGAAAACCATACAGGGCTTCAAAACAAGGTAATAGGAAATTAACAACGGCTACCACCTTTTCTTTTTAGACATTTCCTCCCTTCAAGTTCACACTATCTATTGTGTATTTTAGATCCCACCAACTTCTTCAGTTTTTTCCCCCCTCTATAGTTTGAAAAAGAATAAAACAGAGCAATCAAACAAATTCAAACAGTGCTAAGACATCTAGGGATCTACAATAGTTACTACATTGCTTATTTTTGTCTTCTACATAGTTGTTCCATTTTAGGCTTGCAAGTGTCAATCAAACAACCCTCCAAATCAGCGGGTTGCTCATTGCCAGGGGTGGGGTGTGGTGCTGGAGTGGTGGTGGTGAGGTGTGGGGGGGGTCTAAAGGGGGAGGTGTTCTCTGCTCCCCAGCCCACGTGCCAGCCAGCACACAGACAGGAGCTTAGCTTCCTTCCCTGTGCGCCCAGGCCTCCTCCTTTGTTCTCTGCAATCCGTGCTCCAAATGGCTCACAGGTGGGGGTCTCGCTTTCATCTTCTGAGCTGTCTCTCAATATCAGACGCTGGCCAATCTTACTTCAGGAAGCTCAAACTATCCAGTAACCAAACGGTCATATCTTGCACTGGGGCCTGGCCCGGCTTAGCAGTTCACTGGAATGTTACAGCAAAGGCTGGGCTCTGGAACTCCAAATTCTAGCTTCCTCACTCTGTATCTGTATCTTACAGGACAGCCAGTCTGTAAGATGTGTAGCACCCCGCAGAGTGACTGCGATTGGCTGAAAGGATTTAGTGTGGTGCCTGGATATTTGAGGATTCCTCAAATGTTAGCTTCCATTTTTTGCTCCTAAACTAGGGACGTAGAGTGTGTGGCTACCCTGGGTGGGGCTACGGAATCTCCAAGAGCAGGTGTTATTTTCTGTATCTTGCCAGTTCAAATCAGGTTTTAAAGATAAAATTCTCCCAGGGAGAAAGCAAAATAAGCCTTCAATTCAGGGAGAGCTGAGCTGATACCTTGTTATTTTCTTGAATTCTCTCAGGCTGTTTCCTTAGTGATTTATTATAATGTGGCCTCCATGCATATGAAAAACGACCAGGAATCAAGACAAAAATGCTCCGGGCTGGGGATTTAGCTCAGAGGCATAAGCACTTGCCCTGCAAGTGGGCAGTCATGAGTTCGATCCTGTACCGAAAAAAAAAAAAGAAAGAAATGCTGAGCTTACTAGTTTGGAAGCAGTTTTAATGGAGATGAAAATGTTTCTTAACACAGGTACCCCCAAAATACAAATCAAAATATCATCTTCAGCTGCATAGCAAATATGATTTAAGAATTTAACATTATTTGATCACAAGCGTAAATATAAGTCACCATAAATAAATGTAAATTCATTGTACAAAAATTTCCAACAACTCTTAATACAAATATGGTACATTTAACAGTTTTTCAAACAGAATTTTAAAGTTTTTAAAATCTAAGCTCTTCTCCTTAGACACATTAAAAATAAATCAAAAGGGGGTCAGTAACAACACTACAGAGGAAAGACACTTGTCCAGTTTTCATAAATAAGTGCTGCTGCTGAGCTGAGGAAATGAAAATCTCACTTGAAAGGGAAAACCTCAATTTACTGGGATCAAACCACTTGGAGACAATGTGATTTCTCCCAGGGGGTCAACGCTGGGGTTACCAAAGCAGGGTGAGAGATGAGCTGCTGAATCAGCAACCTCATTAACTGGAGGGTCCCAGCCTCTGCAAAGATTTGCAACGAAACGTAGAACTTAAAAGCTAGTCATCTACCTGAAAAGAGAGCCAGTTACTATTTCCAGAAGGAACTGGAGCTTCCGAAGGTCCTGGAGCTTAGAGATTTTACATGGGTTTTGTGGCATGTTCTACCGCATCGTTTTGCCATGTGGTGTAACTTCTCTGCTGCCTTCGGGATTCACCCACGGCCGTCCAGAAGAAAAATGACCAGGACAGGAAGTGGCAGTGTGAGGCGGGAGGATCTGCCAACTTCCGATCCGAGCCATCTTCCTACACTGCAGTATAAGTATTTCTTAAGTGGCTGAGAGGTAGCTCAAAACCCAAGGTTATCAGAATGATTTCTCTAGAGCAGTGGTTCTCAAACTTGGATGCACAATAGAACAACCTGAATAGCTTTTGCAGAATGTATACCATGTAACCTTATTCCCAGAGAGGCAGAACTAGTAGGTTGTAGGTTTGTGCATACGTTTCTATGCACGAACATGCTTATCTCAAGCACTCTCCCTCAGGTGGCCTTTGGACCATACCTGACATGAGTGTATCGCGTAAGCTTCTGGCTGTGGACATTTTCTGTTTCTTCCCTGTGGTTAAACATGAACCATCTGGTTAAAGGCAACCATTTCAATTCATCTTTCCTAGGGGCTTGGGTCACTATTATTCTTTGCTCTTCTCCTTTCCTCCCTAGGCAAGAAGTATTCAATATCTCACTGAACATGTTCTCTGAAGCTCAAAGCCAGACTCCTTTGAAAGTGATATATTCTAATGAGCATCCTAAAGCTCTCACCACACTCAGTGACTGAGATTCTGTCTGAATTTTGGTTCAGTCAGGAAAATGGAAGTAAATATGCCCCTGGAGAGAATATATACCCCAAACTCTAACTTGAGGAGCATCAGAAGGGCAGGAAGTTGTGAGCAAAGTGGCCAATGAAAGTTCTCGTTCACTCGAACGAGACCCCTTCTTTGGGGAGGGGGGATTTTTACTGCCTACCTCCTTGTCCACAAGACGTTTCCGGCCCCTGTTGAAACAGCCCTGTACTTTCTTTCCTGTGGGAGTTTTTCTTGATGAGAGATTCTATGACAAGGAGTGGACACTAATGTGGTCACTGTGAGGCTGTGGGAGTTCTATGACCCACTGTCCAATGCTGTGCTCTCAATGCCATGGCCCTGTGGGGCCCAATGCTAAGCATTTAGGCTGACGAGATGGCTTAGCAGCTTTCTGGTTGAGGCTGAGTTCACAGACTGCTTCCACACAGCAGGCCTGACTGTCCTCCTAACCCGGCTCCACTCAGTGGGCTACAACTGTAAAAGCATTTCTAACTTTCTCCAGGATCATTCTGAAAGGGGCATTGTTCATGGGGAGCCTGTGAAAGAGCAGAACCAACATCCCCTATCGTCATGCTGACCCAGGACTGCTTCCTGGGTCACATGTTCTCGGTCCTAGTCCAAGCACGTTCCTGATGGTAGAGGCAGTATTTCTAACATCACAGCAGGAGGGGATGCCACCAGGGGGGCTGGTGGGAAGAAGGCAGAGGAGAGAAGGAAGCCAGTGACATAAGGCATGGGGAGGGCAGGCCAACCTCTCTGGCATGGCCACACTCTTTGCTCAGTGTCTAAGACTGCAGTCCTGGGGCCACATACATGAGGGCATTCCAGATCTTCTTGGGAGGAGGTCCTGGGAAGGAAACGTGGATGGATGGGGGACTGCAGGATGAGAAAGAATGAAACTGGGGGCTTGAATATGGCTGAGAAAAAGAAAAAAAGCACACGCTGCCCTGTTACTTGGTTTTCAGTTACACTATGCAAAGACCACCATGGAGATGTCATGGGAGAGCATGCACGAGCCCAGCCCTCGGGAGTGGTGCGGCTGTGTCTGGGGAGGTTCTTAGTGTCCAGGTCCGTCTCACACACTGTCCGGTGGGACCCGGCTGCAGGCTGACCACTGCTTTTTCGTGCCTGCTTCTCCTCCCACCTCGGGGTCGAAGGTCTGCAGGCCTAGCAGGTGGTGGCCAGGGACTGGTGGATGGGCGGCTGGAAGCAGCGCACGTGCTCCACGGTAGAACTGTCTGTCTCCACGGACTTCATGTATTTGTTCAGGATGGCAAAAACCTCATTGTTCAAGATCTGGTACTTCCTGATCCGGTCGGCCATCTTCTTCAGGGGCTGCAGGAGGACAAGGATGTCCAGGTTAAGGTGGAAGCAGAGGTAGAGGATGTGTGAGAAAGAGGCGGATTCAGTGAGGCTGGAGTCCAGGGCCCCAGGGCTTTAATACTGTGGCACTCTCTTGCCTAAAGGCCTTCTATGACCCCAAATTAAAGCTTTGCAACTTTCAAACATTACTAAGCTACCATAATCACACCGGTGTGGCACTGGTACCAAGACAGCTGTCTAGGCCAATGGAGTAGAATAGAGCGCCTAGAAATCAACCCTTTCATATATGATCAAATGATTTTCAACAAGGCTGCTGAGACTATTCAAAAAAGGAAAGTTAGTTTTTTTAATAAATGGTGCTGGAAAACAGGTTATCTATATGAAGAAGAATAATCCTGGAATCTAACTTTGTACCACACATAAAAATTAGCTCAAAATGGATAAAGGAGTAAACGTAAGAGTTATAACTACACAAGTCTTAGAAGACATCACAGTAACAAGCCCTGGTGATGATGTGGGGAAACCGAACTCTGAAGCATTGCTGGGATGTAAGATGATATATTAACCACCTCAACTGACCGAACAGAATCACCGTGTGACCCAGCCATTCGACTCTTGGAACAAAAGGGACTCGAGTATTTGTATATCCATATTCACAGCAGCATCATGCACAATAGTTAAAAGATGGATACAACCAACGTGTCCAGCAGTGGATTTTTAGCTAAAATATAGTATATAATAACAATGAAATAATAATCATCCTTAAAAGGAAATTTGGACATATGCTAAAATATGGGTAAACCCTGAGGACATTATTCTAAGAATAAACCAAACCAGTATTAGAAACCAATATCCTAAGATTCCACTTACAGAAGGTACTCGGAGTGGTCAGTCACAATAGAATGGCAGTTGCCAGGGACTACAGAGTTACTTTGTACACACACAGAGTTTCAGTTTGGGAAAGGTAAAAAGTTTCATGAAATGTGTGCCACTAGTCAAACTGGTAGATCTTATTTGACTGCAATTTTTGTGGCACTCTTTGTAAGGTGGCTCTTGCCCTTCTCTTCTTACATGGTTCCTGGTCACCACCCTCCCTGTATGCCTCTGCACCTTTGTCTGCAATGTCCCCCAAGTCCCGCATGCCATTTGCAGGTGGCTGCTTGACTCAGCATCAGCACTGCCTCTTAGGAAGTCTTCTCTGACCGCCCTCTCCTGCCCCATGTGTCTCCCACAACAGCCTTGCCTAGCCAGACTGGCACCTGTCCCATCCCAGAGCCCAGCTCCACTCTGGTGAATGTGCCAAGATGCCAGCTCCAGCAGCCCACCTGCAACAGAAGGCGGGTAGGTGAGGTCAGGAGCCTTGTCCTGCCCTTGGGGTGACCTGATCCATCTCAGTGGGCTATGAGCAGGTGCTGTCCATGAGCAGCTCACCCTCCCCTCCTCAGATGGAAGCTGACGGCAGGCCAGCCCCAGCCCAGCCTGCTCACCACGTTCTTAATGATCTCATCCTTCCCGTCCTGCCTCTGCACTTTCAGCAGGTGGTAACAGAAGTCGAACAGGTCAAAGCGGCGCTGCTGGCCCAACAGAACGATGATGGAGCAGCCGGCCCAGTTCAGACCATCGCCAAAACACTGCCTGGAGTGGGGAGAAGAGCTGGAGTGAGGGGCCAGGGAGGAGGCCCTGTGGCTGCAGCTCTGGCACAGCCTGAGAGCAGGCCCACCTTAGGGCCATCACACTTATTCTGGAGGATAGGCGTGAGGGAAGCTGTGAGGTGGATTCCTTTGTTCCGAGGTCTGAGCCCTTCAAACCACAAAGAGGTGTTGATCCTGCTAATAAAAAGCAGGCATGTTTGGAAAAAAAAAAAAAAAGAGAGATGAGTTTACAAGGAAGAACATCCAACCAGCCCTTGAGATTTAGGCAAGTCAGAGGAGGCTCACCCTTGGCTCTGTGGGGTGAAGAACCGTGCCAAGCGCAGGCTTGGCAGAAGGACTGAGGCTCTGTGAGTGGGCAGGGAACCAATGCTACTGGTATGGGGAGGCCATGAGTCCCCGGGGCTCTGACACAGCTCTGACTGCAGGCCCAGGTCTGTCTGCTCCTGCCTTCCCCACCCAGAAGTTCTGCACATGTCCTTGGCCATGGCCTGGCCTTCCCAGCCCGTGGTCCCAACACCATTCTCTCTGGACAGCCTTCATTTTTCTCATTGTTCTTGACTTCTGCAGAGCAGGCCTAGCTACCTTCTCTACCACTGTCCTGGTAATTAGTCGGTTAAAGAGCAGGAAGAACTGTGTCCTGCTTCTGTCTGCTCTAGGGGCAAGGCGGGAAGACTCCAAAGGGCTCCTGTTCTCCTGAGCAGAGCTGTGTAGGACTGAGGTGGCAGTGAGAGTCTTCATGCTGCACCCTCCTTGGGCTCCTGCCTGTTCGTGCAGCCCAGCATCCTGTCTCGGGAAGCTGAGGCCCCTGACGACTCTCACTCATCTGGGCACTTGTGTACACTCCCTTTGTGCCTGCAGCTGACGGCTGCCCTCCCCAGCAAGTCCCTTCCTCCAAGCTGATCCCAAGACCAGGTTCTGTGTAGGCTGTGAACCAAAGTCTGATAACCATTCACCTCTGTTCTCTGCCACCTGTCCCCCTTTTTTCCTGGCTGCAGACACATCTCGTGTCTATGTGTGGCTTCACCTTGGCCCCTTAAGCTACAGGGGCACAGGAATGGTCCCTTGGGTCAGCACTGTTGCAGGTCCCGCCTGCTGGCATACCAGGTGCTCTGAACAGAACTCCTGGCCGGCCAGGGCCACATTCCTGGTGTAATTCTGGCATCCCACTGGTGCTCTCAGGGAACAAGCAGGTTGGTGGCTGGCTCTGCCCGCGCTGGAGGTACATACTCAGCTGTGAACTCGTTGGTGCCCACGGGGATGCAGTAGACGAACTGCATGGCGCTCCACAGCCGGTGGAACTCCACACACTCATCCACGTGCATGACGCCGTTGGTGGGCGGAGGGCCCCGCCAGATGGGGTCCTGCAGGTAGCTCCGAATGCGGGTCAGGATCACCTCGAACATGGACAGGCCACAGCACAGCCGCTCCTTGGTCAGCAGGTCACCTTCCCGAGCGATGGCGATTTGCTGGGAAAGGAAGGATATGCAAACCTTTGATGCACATCTGTGATCCCAGCTGTCACCAGGCCCTAGAGGTTCCTAAACAATGAAGCCAGCTGTACCTGGAATTCATTTATTGGGCCTAGTATCTTTCCCAGAGAGTCATACATACCACTGTCTGACTTGTGGTATATAAAAATCCAGGAGCCATTTGTAGAGGAATGATTATTAAAAATTAGGATCTAACACCCCATGAAATGGTAGGCAGGTGTTAAAGTCTGAGATGATACTATCAGTACTACTGTACTGTTACTATAACTAGTGCATACTTACAATGGGTACCACACCACCAGTTCCTTTTCTAAGCACCCAGTCCCAGTAATATCCCCATTTCACAGATAAGGAAATTGTGGTTCAGAGAGGCAGCCAGTGAGGTCTAAAGTCAGGATCTGATTCCTTTAGTTTAGATCTATAGGTGTAACTTTAAAGTGAAGAGAGCAAGCTACAGAAAATGATGTATACCACAATCCTCTTCAAAGAATTCACATATAATTCCACAGACAAAAATAGACATAGACATGGGATATGTGTCTGTATACAGAAACATTTTAGATTAAAATCACTTGTGAGAGCAGATGGGCTTGGAAAAATGGTGAGATTTGCTATTTACTTTAAATATATCTGTACAGCTGAATGTGCAACAAAGAGCTTATGGTAATCTTTTAAAATTTGCCACTGACGTCACAGAATTATTTCCTCTAGTTAGAAATCCTCCTTTGGCCAGCACATGTGATCTACGTTAATCAACTGGTCTCTCCTCTGGGTTCTGGTTACTGTGCACCTAGTGATTCCATGGCTGGCAGGTACATCAAAACACACTACATTCTGAGAACAATACCTAAGTGTAGAATTGCTGAAAGCTACCTGCAAAGCAAGATACATATTACAATCTACGGTCAAAGTTAGGTCTCCTAGTCTGGGGACCAAGCTAAAGGGCCTGAAATGGCTTCTGATTCACTCACAGCATCTGGGCAGGGTTCCCCCAGAACCAGGGCCCACTGCCCCTGTGAGCACTCTCCCAGGAATCCTCCAAAGAGGGGAGCCTAAGTGAACCCACAGAAGAAACCAGGAGATACGGATGCTGGAGACTCCTGAATATGAGCCATGTGTGCAGTTGTCATGACAACCGTATATGTAATGAAATCTGGGGGGAAAATGAACAGGGAAAGAAGTTCTCAATGTGTTTTAAACACAAAGATAAGGAAAGCTCGGTTTACAGTGACTCATTCTGATTCCCCAGGCAAACACTGTTCTCAAGGAGGGGACCTCCTGCAAGCTGACAGTTGGCTAGAATAATCTCTGAAATGATCCTGAGCCCTGTGCTTGATTTGCTTCTTATTCTTTGCTTTTACTCCTCTTCCATTTGCCCCACCCCAAAAGGGTTTTCCACAGAACACTGCCGCTCAGTAACAAAAGAACCCAGATTTGCTCTCGAGTGGTGAACTTTCCCACGGACCAATGTATACGGAGTACTGGCTTCCTAAATAACGTATGTTTCTGCTTCATCTGCACGAGACCTCAGGGCCTGAGCATGTTGGCTGAGGAAGCAGGAAACCTGGCAACTGAATTCACAACCCCCAGGCCGATTTTGAATTCTACCAGCCGGACCACTGCAGCCAATGGGAGGAGGCGGGTTCCTCTCTTTTAGACAAATGTTTATCCTTCATAGTTGTATGAACCATACCAGTAATAAATTGTCACCATGTGAAAGTTTTTAAAAACTTGTGAATTACAAACATTTTAAGGTATAAGAAAGAAAACAAAAATCATTTATCTCATCACCTAGCGATGAGCTTTCAAAAAATGATGATACGTGAATACTGTTTGTGGTTATGTTAACATGTATACAGGTTTATTACATATGTGGAGCATCCTGTCCTAGAGGTTTATCTGTAATTTAAAAATTCACTTCCTGTATCATGATTTTTAATGGTAACTAAATAACCTTTGATATATCAATTTATTTAACCCTCTTCTCTTAAATTGTTAGCAAATTTTTACTACAGTGGAGGATTCTAAAGCTGCCAACCTTACACAGAATTCTGCAAACCTATGTGTGCGCACTTTGTTGGGATAAATTCCTAGTAACAGATGGGTCAAAAGGCTGCTTTCCCTTGCAGCACAGCCCCACACGAGCCTCAAGAAAAGCTGAAGCGCAATACATCGGCTCATGCACCCTGGTCCTGTCCCCCCAAATCCTGTAACCATTGTTGAAAAGTCCTTTGCCAGCTTGAGAGATGAAAGTACATCTTGTGCATTTGGATCCGAGCTTGCTGATGACAGGAAGGCTGAGTACTTTTGTTTGTATTGAGTTGTCTCTCATGCCTGCTTTTTTTTTTAGGGTACATCTATCACTTTGTTTTTGTGTTGAAAAAGCATTTCAGAAATGGTCTGCTGCAAATACCCCCAGTGTGTGGCTGGGTATTTTATCTGTTTATATTGGGAGCGGGACAGGTTGGTCTCTGAAGTAGTGGAGTCATTTGATTACCCTTTGGAGGGAGATTATATCTGAACATCCCTTCTTTCCTCATCCCCTTACGATCTGTGGAAGTTTTACACTATTTATTCATTATGACAATTAAGAGAGGCAGCTCAACTAAGGAGGGAAAGTAGCTATTCCTTTCCATAGGTGGGAAAGTGGAGATGTTAAGTGGTTCTCACTAACTATGCAGTGATTTGCAGGGACAGCTAGAGACAAGGCCCACTGTCCTTTGACCCCTTGAATGTTCTTTTCACAGTAAGGCTGGACAACTAGCCAGGTCACTTCAATTTGTCTCAGAAATAAATACAAACACAATGCAGAGCAGCTCAAATGTTTTTGCTTTAAATATGCCACACTGACCTACATAACAGATATCTAGACAGGCTGACCTGGCATTAGACATCTGAGCAGAAGGGAGACCCTGGCTACTTGGAAGTACTGCTTTTTAAATTTTGTTCTGGGATTTTTGTTTCTTTTTTTGTCTATGGATAGCTGTTTCATTTAAGTGTTTGTTTTAATGAACATGCACCATTTGTAGGTGTTAACGGGGTTCAGAGTGGTATTTCCATATATGCACACAGCATGCACTGATCCCTGCCTCCTTCCCAGTCCCTAGGAGTCACTGTTCTCAGCTTGACTGCTTTTCAATTTTGTTCCTTGAGAAACTGGGGGGGGGGGGACCACTTATAAAACTGGCATTTCCTCTCTCATGGAATGTCTAGAGTTGTGTTTGTTCAACACTCAGCATTTGACAAATAGAGATTTCTATCAGTTCTGAGGAAGTGGTATTGGCCAGAACAGGGAAGGAATTCACAGTCCTCTAAGTGGAAACACATGCTAAGCCTTGGGCTCAAGGAGTTGGATTCCTGCAGGATGACACCAGCTGCGGGGCAGGCACACAGACATGTCGCTGGCTTGGGGGATTTCTCCCTAAAAGGAAATGATGTGAGAGGATCTCCTCTGTTCAAGTCCAGGAGGCCAAAAAAGCAAGTGTGTGTACTCCACAGCATCCCAGGGTTCTCCGCAGTGAGCCAAGGAATGGAAATGCAGCTTAGCTCTGTCATTTTCAGGAGCAGTTTGGTAGCAAATGCGGCCCTTCAGGGTGACACCTGGGCAGGTGGGCTTTGCATCCAGCTCCAAATCCCTGCCCTGCGGTGCCTGAAGGGAGCACCACCTCCGTGGAGGATGTGATGGCCCCAGCGAGGGTCACCGATTCCAGAGAGGACTTCAATCCTGTCGCTTCTCAACAGTCTCATCTCTCTCTGGTACCTCATTTCCTTCTTCCTGAATTCTTCCCCCTCACCCTGAGACGCAAAGCTTGCCGGTATCAGTGTGAAGCCAAGCAGCATGCTACGCTGTCCCTTTCCCTCACTTCTTCCTTTCTGATTCCTTCCTGCAGGGTTTGCACCTGTCTAGCTTGTCTTGTGCCCACAGCCACTCGAATGGGCTTTGAAAACAGTTTTTAATTGCGTGCCTACCATACGAATCCACGCACCTTTGAAAACATTCCTATATTACAGACAGAGCTGGGGCATCTTGGATTCCCTTCCTCCCCTCAGTCACTGTGCCTTGTCAGAGGTTGCCAACAAGGCATACAGCACCCCAGACACTATCAGGGAAAGTTTCCCTTCAGTTTCTGGTGTGTGTATTTAAAAACAGTGGTACTGGAATGTAGCTCAATTTGCTTTACGCACACAACTGTGTGTTTAGGGTCTGTGCACATCGACCAGTGTCCCTAGGTCTCACTTTTCATCGACACTCAGACGACTGTACTGCATTTTATTAGCATCTCACTGACCGCCATCAAGCTGCTTTCAGTTTTTGTGTTAGCAAACATGGGTCACCATACCATCTCCTGTCACTGAGCTTCTCTGGTAAAAATGCCCAGAAGCGACCTGTGTGGGGTTTTAACTTAGAGACAGCACAGCAGAATTCTTGCTCTCTAGCAAGGGTGGAACAGATCGTGGCTGACTTCTTCCCTAGCAGGACACGGGATACAGGGGTGCAGCAGCTCTAACTCAAGCCCGAGAGCCTGGGGCTCTCATTCCAGAGCTGCTCCTGCCTCTAACCAGCTCTGCAGTACTCACGCTTTCTTCCCTTTCCTGCGCCTTAGGCTCCCTATCTGTCAAATGAGCAGGTTGGGTCACACTGTCTTCCCCTTGGGGTCCTCGGACTCTATGAAAGGAGGTTCATACCTGAGGGGTCCCCAGTCGCTCTATCAGGGGCACCAGGTGGAGTGGGGCGTACTTGGCTTCCAGGCGCTTCATCCGGACTTCCAGGCGCTCCCCCTCTGCAAAGCAGCAACGAGCAGAAAATGAAATCTGGGGCACAGTGCATGACTAGGAGGGAGCCTCTCTCTCAGGGACTGCTGATGTGGCTGAGTCTCCAAGCTTGGAGTCGCCTTGGTTGTGGAACACGTGATAAGGACTTAGTATAAAGAAACCTTTTCCATGAGCTGTACAGTCATGGAATCACGGGCCTTGTACAGTGGTGAGTTTTCCACCATGTGAGGAAATTACACCAAGGTTAGACGGCCTTGCCTGGGAGTATTTCGAAGGAACAAGACTTACAGGGTCCACTCCAATTCAGCAATTCTGTGACTAAGTCCCACTGACGCCTACAGCTTGAACTGCTCTTGCTGACTGTAGGGCTGACGTTAGTGTGATTAGGGAGTGAGTGTAAATCGGCACGGAGGCTCACAGCACAGCTGTAACCCCAGCCTCTCACAACCCCACTTGTAAGAGGCTGCGGCAAGAGGATTGCAAGATTGAGTCTAGCATGGGCAACTGAGCAAGATCCTGTTTCAATTTTTTTTTAAATAAAAGGTGCAGTGGCGCACTTGGAAGCAGCTCAGTGCAAAGGCTCTGGGTTCGATTTCTAATACTGCAAAACAAACATCAAAATAAAACCAAAAAAACCCTCACGAAGCTTAAATGCAGCTGCTGATGGTGTTTCTCACCTTTGATGTAGACTCGAGGCAGGATGTTTTGGAAGGGTGCAGCATGGAGCAGATCGCAGACTTCCTCCTGAGACTGCAGGGACAGAAGGGCAGAGAGAGAACACAATTTTCATTTTACACCAGGAAGAATTTTTATGCCGAAAAACGTGAACACTAAACTGTGAGACCTCAGCCAATGACTAAGCCTCTAGGTCTATTTGTCTGCGAACTGAGGAGGCGCACAGGACCTCTTTAACGCGCTGCTGTAACACTAAATGAGAGAATGCATCACCTCAGAGCACAGTGCTGGCACATGAGAGCTCAGTACATGTTTACTATAATCTTATAAGGAATTGTTGAAGAATCAGGGTGCATGGCAGAGGGATCAGACAGAGACAGTCAGCCCCAGGCTGTGTCTGTCTGACTGGCTGTGAGGTCTGCAGGGTGACAGGAGGTCACTGGTCCGATCTTCTTCTGGAATAACTGTGCAAAGGCCTGTGTCTGATTAGTCTGGTTTTCTCCACACCAGACATCAGCTAGTGAGAAAAGACAAATCAGAATGGGGGTCAGACGGGATGTGACAGAGATCAGCTACATACAAAAGTCAGCTTGTGAGTAATCATGAACCACCACGGCTGGAGGAAAAGTTTGGTTAGAGTAAAATGGAAGAGGGGGCCGCTGGGCTTAGCGTCCTGGAACCCCTGAGGGCGGCTTTTCAGACTGCAGGGCCTGGCTCGGGCACCCTCCGCCAGGCCATGGGCATGCACTGTAGACAGACCAGCTCCTTTCACATTCTGACTGTCTGAGAGTCTAAGCCCCTGAAGACATCAGGGCCCTCAGAGCCATTGGTTTCTTCACCTCATGTAGGGAATCTGCAAAAGCGGGGACTCAAGAGGGGAACCCCTACGCTCCTTTTTGAAAACTGCAGATGGGTTCTTGAAATGAGGATACCAGAGGGAGGTACTTTACACTCCCTCCCTCCTGAGGGACCTGGGGCTCCCACTGTCCTTCTGAGTCTGTTAGAGGGAAGCTTCCCGCCTCCTTAAGCTGCTTCTCTCTACACCGGGAGCTGCATAACCCAGTCTGCCTTGCTGTGTTGAGGGAGGCTTGGATTCGGCTCGAGAACCAGCTTAGGGGTCATGCAGACTGATCTTTCGTGTTCACAGAGTGTGTTACACTGACTGGCTTTTGAGTGATGAACCCAGTTTGCATAACTGGGAGAAACCCCATCTGCTGGTGATGTATTATCCTCTTTATGTAATTTTTAGTTTCCTGATTTTGTTTTATTTTATTGTTTTGTCTTTTGAGACAGGATCTCGCTCTGCAGTTCAGGCTAGCCTCCAGCTCACTTTGTAGCCCAGGCTGGTCTCGAACTTGCAACAATCTTCCTGCCTCAGCCTCTCAAGCATCGGGATTACGATTGGGCCACCACAACTGGCTTCTTTTAAAGGATCATTATACACATGAGAGATACTTATTTGTAGTGTTAATTTTGGACAATTCCGTTTGCTTATTTTTTCCCCATTAGGGAGACTTTTGGAGACTTGCGTCTCTCAAGGACGTTGGCTACATTCATCTGAGTTTATGGATGCTGAGTTGCTTTACATCTTTATGAGGTGTGCAGTGGTATAATTTTCACTGCATTTCTCTTCTTTCTTGTGCTCTCTCTCTCACTCATCAGTCGTGCTAGAGGCTGTCAATTTTACTGCACCTTCCCCTGAGAATGGCTTTTGGCTTCATTCCTAGTCTTCTGTTTTCAAGGTTGACTTTTGTTCTTTACCATCCTTCTCTTTGGCTGGATTTAAGTGTAATTTGCTCTTTTTTTTCTAGTTCCCTAACACAGCAACCTAGATTCCTGATTCAACACCATTATTCTTCTGTACATTCAAGCTATTTTTCCAAGACTCTTAATATTCAAGAGCGCAGCGTTGTGCAGCCAGAACTCCACTCCTGAACAACTGTAATGGTTATAAACGTCGTTCTGCTCTAAGCCAAAGCTGCTTCCTGGAAGTTTCCATCTTGGACCCTCGTTTGGACTTCAGAGCTCCAGTGAATGTGTTTTTCGTTCAGCATCTTCACTGCCACCCTTCCATGTCTCTCCTTCCCTGCAGGATGGGCACTGTAATAGCGTCCTAAACCCCGCCCACGTGCTTGTCTTACTTCTTTCCTCTGACAGAAACATGCCCAGCAGCCGCACTGACAGCTCCAGCTCTAGCAAAGATTGCCAAGAACCGCCCTGTGCCCTCAGTCGTCAGCCTACTCGGTGTCTCTAAAGGGCCAGACACTGTCCTCTTCAGCCCTGGGCCAGCACAAACCGTCGCTGTGGCTTCTCCTTTCTAGCTAATCTTTGCAGGTTTACTCTTGTCCTCCCTTAAATGCTGGTTTTCTCCCTCTTCCGCCCGCCTGGCTTATCTCACCTGCCCCATGAACCACCACATCAGTATCCATCCAGACCCCTCTCACATTCCAGACTCCATACTCGGCTCCCTGATAAAATTCCCGCATGGATACTGCAGGGCTTGGCATTTCCAAAGACCTCATTCTCCTCTCCCCATTTCCACCTGGGGGTCCTTGCAAGATCATATAGTCTGAGTCCTGATTCAGTCTCTACTGATTCCTTGCACATGAATCACCATAACACTCTGAACTCAAGGCAGGGATGGTATTTCTCCTTTTGTCCGCCCTCCCTCCCCCGCCCCAAAATAACTCCTATGAAAACATACAGTAATTTCTCAATAATTACTTGTTCAATGAGTGAATATCTGTTACCCTGTAAATAAATGAATTTATTTGCCCACATGACAGCTTTCCAAGTATGAGAAGACTGTTAAGCATTTATCACCTATTTATCCAACAAATCTTGACTAAGGACAGGCACTGTTCCAGGCTTCCCAGCTATGACGCTGAACAAGTTAGCCTAGATCTTTGCATTGTGGAATTTAACTTATAGCTGATAGAGACAAATAAACAAGGTTTCAGACAGTGATAAAAGCATGGCTGGGTAATAGGTCAGGGAGTAGCAACCAATGAAGAAGGGTATTTAGGAAAAAAATCTTTAAGATAATGACAACTGACTAGAGAATGGAATGAAGTGGGGAAGTTCATCTTGTGGCTATGAGATAAGGGCATTCCAGTGCAAAGGCCCTGGTGCAGAGAATAAACCAGAGATAGTGATATGGGGATTATAGTGCAGATAGCACTAAAAAAAGATAGGGAGCAGCCAGATCATGTGCGGGCCTCATGCACATGATACTAACTTTGGATTTTAAATATTATGAGGGGCTACTGCAGTTGTTTCAAGAAGAGGTCTGGTACACACAGCCCATTGCCAAGTGTTCTAATCTTTTTCTCTCTGAAAAATTTCAGTTGCTCCTAGCAATGCCTTGTTCTAGAAGGCTGCCCCCTGTGTGATTAGCAACTTGCCTTTCTGTTACCGCGGGTGCACTGGGTATGGGCCACTCGGGAGGATGGGGGAAGAGGAAGATGGTCCCAAGTCTCCACCAGGGCGGCGCTGCGTTCACTGGGCAGGGTGTCTTCGGAGGAGATGGACGTAGTGTGTAGTGGTGTGGGTCTTTCACTGCGAATGTATCACTTACCCCTCCAAAAGCCTCTCCCCACCAAGTTTGCAAACTGCAGCCCACAGGGCTCTGGGGGGCTTCTTCCTTCCTGTACATGTACATGTTCTCTATTTGTCTATGAAGGTGAGGCAAGGATGTGGCTTCCTAGCAGTGGGAAAGCTTTTGCCTGGGAGCTCCCAGGGGAGGAGCTTACACTCTGTTCACATCACAGGCGGCCACACCCTCTGCAGCACTTTTGGGGAAGCCTCTGGTTTTCCTCAGCTGAGATCCTTTACTAATGGGTTCGCACAAAGGGCTGCATGAGGGCTACCAACCAGCTTCCACGTGGAGCTATGATCAAGGCTGAGGTCTGATCGTTGTCCTACGCATCTCCCTGGGTCTCCCACTCGGCCTAGGAACCACAGGCATTGTCCTGCTGGCCAGGGTCCTTATGTGGCCTGTACAGCCCACAGCCTGGGTCCCTCTCCCGGGCCCCACAGCTTTCTGTCCTTTGGACAGACTGTGTAGACAGGGCAGCACCTCTTCCTTCCGCAATGCTCCCTAATCCATCTCTTAATCTTCACGCCTATGCTTGGTGAGCACCTCCTGCCCCCTCGGCACCCCGCTGCCCATGAAGGTTTTTTGCACGGTGTTCTCAAAGGATCTTCCCTTTTAGCTCAATCTGAGCTCAGGATGGGGAAACTTTTTAGAGCTTTCAGTGGTGACAGCCTGCTGTAACACATGTGCCGTAGGCTCACCTCCACTGGTCTAGACCATATATTCCTACACGTGACCATCTGATCAGTATCTACCCCCCATTGGAATGTAGAGGCGAAGACAACACCATTTTAAACTCTTGTTTTATTACCCTAAGTGAATACTGAGCCTGATTTACAGTAACTGCTCAGGAGTCACGAGGAATCAAAGTTGAGTATGTGGTGTGTAAGGAGACAAACACTGAGAGCAGACTCTTTCCTAAACAGGCCTGGAGACTTTTCCTTAGTATGGAGGGAACTATCTTGTCTTTAATTTTAGTGATTAGTCTATGTGAACTATTTTAAACACATGCTCCATGTAGTGAGATTTTCTGATATTTTAATTTTTTCTAGGTGTAAGTAGGTATTTACTACCTTGAATACCTCTTATTTGGAAAACCTGAAAGCAGCTGATTCGTCTTCCTTTCAACACGAAAAGCTCTTGGCGTCAGCTGCAGTAATCACAGAAAAGGAAATGAAATCCTAGCCAGCACCTTGGTCCACAAGGAATAATATTTGCACATGTTTAATGCACACAGTACTGGTTTTTACTTGAAGGCTACACTTAAGGGTGACTCACAGATCAGAACAAAATGCAAACATTATGTTAGAATACAGCTGTGAAGATATAACAGTAAAAGTGTAGCTGAGGAGCAAGAAAGGGGAGGTACCAGGAGTGTTCATTTCTGTGGTCTCTCATTCTTTCAATGGAAGGAGTCAAGATATTAAATCATATTTCCGAAAGGGGCAGAAGTGTAAGTGCATTATCTATGATTACAGGG